TGAAATTATCCTAAGGGGAAGGTGTTAGGCACCCCTCAGGATCCACTAGTGTGGTTCCCGGCCAGACAGGTTTTTGTGAATTTATACAATTAGAAAATAAACAAGTATGTCTCAAATAGTAGGGGATTTAAGTTTAAACACACAAAAAACAGTTAATGAAAAAAGACAAGATTTTGAAAAGAAGTACAATCTAAGCGTGTTTGTGAATATAAAGGGGTGTCCTAGGTCAGTTAACATATAGGATCACATCAGTATAATGCCCGGTAGTCACTCCTTAGAAAGGGGCTACGCGTGGCATTAGTGCACCGGTCATCATATCCATATCTACCCGTTCCCGCTCCGTGAAGGTAATTAAAGCGAAGGTTGGTCTCGACCCCTATTGCATGCTGTTACCCGTCCCTTCCTATCAGTCCCGGAGGAATTTAGGACTCATATCCTATAAAAGGGGGTTCTAGGTAGACCCTCAGGTTTAAAGGCAAAATACTAGGCGACAAACAAGAACACATAGGACTGCATTTAGGGGGAAAACACAGAAAACAGATAGAAGGCTCAGATATACCTCCACAAGTAATGCACACAGACAACACGACTCATACACAGGTAAGGTCCACATTCAGATCCTAACAAGGTATTTAAGTGATAACAATAGAACCAGATTTATCGCATGACTCAGAAAAGAAGTCTGAATCAGGCTTGCCTACTGATTTTAACAGTTGATAATTAGACACTAATCACACAGATGATTCTGGTTTTATTTAAAGTTGATTACCTAAGGCCTGTCTACGCGTAAAATAATGTACAGCAGTTATGCAGAATTATTAAAAAAGTGTGGAAATTATTTTACCCTAAGAGCATGTTGTTCTAGTTGATACGAGTGCAGAGATTATTACCAGCTTTATTCAGAAAAACACCACAATATGAGATTTTTTTTATTTACCTTTTCATGAATCAGTAATTAACAAGGCGTCTTAAACAAAGTGCAAACAAGATCCTAGAACATGATATCTAATATGCACATGCAAATGGCAGGATTGTTTATAAAAAAGAGAATCCCTAAGGCATGATTTCTAAATGCGCACAAGAGTTGCAGAATTATTGAAATGTGACTTCTGAAAGTACGAGAGTAACAACTTTTATGCCAATGTTGTTATTGTCCTAGGAGCAGGATTTCTAAGTGATAGACATAAAACATGGATTAGTGATGGATGAGATGCTGAAGCAAGAAAACATGGGTCCTAAGAGCATGACTTCTAATGCATGTATGAACTTTAAACATGGTTTCTATTGCAGAATTGGGAATATAACCCTAATAACCTGTTTTATACCCTCAACAACTATAGCATGCATATTTACCCCATCCCTTTCCACTAGCCAACCCAATACTCGTTTACAATAGGTTATTACAGACCAACATTGAAATGAATTACATAAGTAGAAATGAAAATAAGAAGTTACACTATAGGGAGCATGATTAGGACTTCCTCCCTGAGATATGTAATAAATCATCTCAAGTGCCAAGATTGTTTCACAACTTTTCCTCACATCTAGGTGTGTCAGAGTTCCCTAAGGACCTCAAGAGATCCCGGGCAGTGCTCACACCCAGATTGTATAACCAAGACAGAGTAAATGCAGTATGGAAAGGCCAGCTTTTATGTGTCCAAGTTCAGAGGGAGCTCAAGGGTCCCAAGGCAAGGCTCACACAAAAGGGGGCAGAACCTAGTGGCTAAGAGTATATGTGAGAGTGCTTGACATAGATTTAAAAGAGTTGAGTTGGAAAAACAGTTTTGAACCAGTATGTCTGAAATAAGTTTAACAGAAGAGTTGCTTAGGGAAGAACAGTTTGGAAAGGAGAAGGGGATAGGAGCAACAACAACTTGGAACAAGCCAGCACACACACAGAACAAGTTCAAAGAATAGTATCATTCCAACATTCACAGGCAGGGAAGTAAGGGGTTGGGGACATAGAAGACCCAAATCAGAAACACATAAACATGGCTGAGCAGAGATGCATATAGACCAGCAAGTACAAAGAACACGTAGGGACTGATTGGCCTTTAGAACACAAACAATTACTTCAAAGAGTTAACAAGGGAATCATGCTTAAAATTAGAATAATAGTAAGACATAGGGACAGGGAATGGGAGTAGTCATGCAGGGCTCTATTACACATAATTAGTCATGACTTAGTGTTAATCAAGTACATTAGGAAACATACTAGTTGAGGGACATAAACAGGAACTCAAGTAGACATGCTGATTGCATTTGAACAAGAGAGGGCAGAACTTAAGCATGCTGAGTAAAGCAGTTAACAAGAAGTGCAATTAAACAATATGGGCCAATAAGTCAGTGCAGAAAGAGACAGGGATTGGCAAACAATGGAGCACATAGAGTTGAGCTTCAGAATTGAACTAGGAACATACCAGTTAAGGAAGCAAAGTGCAGAAAAGTAAAGCGAGTAGAGTTCCACAGACTAGCCTTGGCTTTCAGCCTGCTAGACAAGCAGTAGCACAAATAGTAGAGAAAGAAGAGAGAGTTTGAGTGTATATATGTGTGTATTCTGAACTATGTTCGTGTCTTGAGAGGTAAAACAAGAGTGTATATATAGCACTTTAGGAGTAGAACTAATAAGGTAAAGAGAATCAGAGTTCAATCAATTAAGGATCAATCAACCAATCACAGAATCAATTTCTATAGAGAAGTCCGGGAAAGGCCCCTTTAATTGGGGAATAGTCAATTAACTGTCATAACAGGGTTCAGTTAAGATAATAAAATCAAAACCATACCATATAGGGAGTCAGTAAGATCGCCAAATTACTGATAACTAACTAAGGCAAGTATAACCAATCAGGGTCATAAATAAGGAAACAAGTAAAATCCCAGCACACACTGATTTTAACAGGACAATCATTGAATCAGTAAAAAATCTTAGAGAATACTGATTTTAACAAGAAAGATTGCTCAAAACCCTAATAGAAATTAATCACGCAAAGATCTAGAAGAATACTGATTTTTTTAATAGGGAAGATTGTTCAAACCCCAAATAGAACCAGTTAATACATTGGGTTGACATAAAAAATAAACAAATAACGGAGAACATGAGAAAGAAAAAATCAGTGCAACAGACAGAAGCATCCAGAATTCACACATATATAAGAGAATCATTCAAGATAGTGAAGAATACTTAGCTTAAACACTGAAAAGTTAGAAAAATCTTTGAAGAAAAGTCTGATATGAACCCTAATTTCAAAAGGAGTAAACGAAGTCGAAACAATTAATCAGACAAAGAGATTTTAAAGGAAAACACCCAATGATACTCGAATAACTACAGATCAATAAAGATCTGAGAAGATTCGAACAATAGTGAAACTAGGGTTTTCAGAAAAATAGTAGAGATGAAGAAAAATCGGTTAAAAACTCATGGATATACCTAGATCTAAGACAGATCTAAAGGAAAGTGGAAAATCTTAAGAGTTAGGGTTTCAGAGAACCCAGAGAAGATGAGAAAACCTTAGAACATTACCGGTTTTAGCCGGAAAGTCATGGACCTTACTCGAACAACCATGGATGGTCGGAAAATGGCATGAAAGACCATGGATAGACTCTCGGAGAGTTTTGAACAAGACCTGGACTAGATCTCTTCGAGATCCTTCTATGAAATCACAAAAAGGAGTAACTGGGATACGTAGGAGACAAGTATACATCTCAAACAGCCATGGGAATCCATGGATCGAGTGAGGATCGAAGGGATTAGGGCTGGTTTGGGTGGCGGCGGCTACGGTTTGGTCTAGGTCTCAGAGAGAATTGGAGAGGAAAGGGGTTTTCAGGGCGGCTGTTTGGTGAAAATGACTTAGGGTTTCGGGGGTTAGGTTAGGTAAAAAAGGAAGGTTTGTTTTGGACCGTTGATCTCTTGAGATCAACGGCCAAGAGTGGTTCCGAGCTGGGCGGGTTATAAAAGTGGGTTGGGTTAATTGGGTCGGGGTTTCAATTGGGCCAGGGGTGTATTCGGTTATAATTGAAATACAAATGGGGCTATTATTTAAATAGCTAGTTTTCCCTTTTTTTTTAATTTCTAAAAAATAGTAGGTAATTTCTGAAAATAATTTAAAAATGCTAAAATGATTTAGAATACATAATTAGCAATTTAAAAATACAGGATCCAATTTTATGCACATAAAACATAATTAAATTTTAAAAAGGCTAATATTGTAATTATGTGCAATTTAACTTTAAAAGTACTAAATGTAATTGCAAAAATATATAAAAATTACCCTAGCCATATTTTGGCATAAATATAGAAACCCAATAGATGAATTATCAAAACAATAATTTTGGAAATAATTATTGGGGATTTTATGGATAAAAAAGGAGAAAATAAATCAATTTAAAACCTTAAAATTATGGAAAAAATAATAAAAACCTTGGGCATGCTTATATATGCATACATATGCTATTTTGAAAGTATTTTACATATTTAAAAATATATAGGAAAAAATTGGATATCAACATCACGTCAGTTCAGAATGTCATTAAAACTTCTCATGCATCATGATGGCGCACGTTTTCTATGCATTGCATCGTTTCCCGTGCCCTTTCCGTTTTTAAAATAGCGGCGTTTAGTTCTCCTGCTCAGGGTATTTATATCCATATAAATAGGGAAAAATCTTACATTTGAATGTTGCGCTTCCCAATCGCTCAAGAGAGACTCTCGCAGCTTTTCTTCTTCTCCTTTAGTTTCTCATATTTCCCTTTCTGTTAAAAATTCTTGTGGCCGCTACCTTTTTCCTTTATCGTTCCCGATTTTCGCAATCAAAGAAGAGATGGCTAGTTCATACTCTGACCCAGAGAGAGTTGCTGGTGCCCTTGCGCCGGAAATTGATATGCCTCCACATGAAGAGGATGTAGTTACGACAAAGGATGAGAAGTTTCCAACCGTGGAAGAGGTGGTTCCTCGCCCAGGGAAGGCAAGGACTGACTTAAAGAGCCCAGTCGAGGATGAATTTGAACCTGTTATTTCTACTATGGCTGCCGCGGCGCTCATGACGTTCAAAACCAAATAGAGAATCCCTGATCTCATTGAACTAGTTCCGGCGAGTCGTGACATAGTGCATATACATCGCCCGGGCTACTACGCGTTTTATGCATATCCATTTGTCATTGGATACACGCTTCCCCTTCCTTCCTTGGCGGTGGACTTCTGCCACTTCTACGAGGTATGTCCGGCTCAACTCTCTCCGTACGTATACAAGCTCTTCCTTGTGCTTATCAAGTACGCAGAGCTAGCCGATCGGGGAATTTCTCTACAACACATGCTTCACCTCTTCGCCCCCCATTTAAATAGGGGCACGATGATTCACCTTCGTCACTGAGGAACCAAGGATTTGGTGGTAAAGATGGATGACAAGGCCAATCGTCGCTTTAGGGAGAACTTCTTCTATGTTCGAATAGAGCACGTGGTATCGAACCCCACAGGGTTTCCTGAGGCGTGGAATTTCGCTCGTAGGTCTTCCTTTCCTTTTATTATATATATTTGTTTTGAAAATGGGTGTTGGTCGTCTCCCTTTAGTGATTTCGTCGAATGTTTTTTGTTTTCGCAGCCGAGAGAGTACCTCCTCCGCAAGTTGCTAATATTCGCGAGTGGGTGAGCTCGATTCTGCCCCACACGATGGGGATTCGCGAATGGGCGCCTTTCCACAAGAGGTTTGGGCGCAAACCTTCCGCTGGTGAGTCGGCTTGTTTCGGCCTTAGTTGCTTTATACTTTGCTGCGTCTTTTTCTTTATCTTATATCTTTGTTTGGTCGAATTTCTCTCATTGGCAGGTCGGAGAGGAGCGAGAAGGGCGAGGGCTCCTATTTTTGCTTTCCGTCAGCCGACTTCTTCTGCCCGGTCCATACCAAGGGTAGCTGTGAATGAGGACATTCAAAGTCTGGCTGTTTCGCGGACCGCGTCCGCGTCCGAACTTGTTCGTTTGGAGGCTGCTCTTTGGTCGGACACTCCGGTCCCCAAAGTCCATTTGGCAGACGAACCTTCTCATGGTGATGGCGAAGAGGCCCCGTCAAAGAGGCGGAGGTTAATGTCAGAGGAGGCGACTTTGGTTGAAACGCCCTTGAGGGGCGACCCTGTTTCGGCGGTATGTGAAGCTGGCAGTGATGGCAGCCTAGGTGTGGAGGCGATGCCCATTTCGGGCATGGAAGATGCTGTCGTGGCAGGGGGATAGATTTCGGAGGTCGCCGTGATTGTTCCGAGCAGTCCATCGACGTCTCGGCAGGCCCGCACCCCCTCTTCGGCTAATGAAAGGTTGAATGGCGTAGTGGTAGATGATTATGACTCTGATTCTGATATCGATCCTGAGGACATGAGGATGTTTGAGAAGGTTTTAACAGGGTCGATGTGAGGGCAGAAGGCCCTTCCCGTGTGCTCAAAATTCCATCAGAATTTAACCTGTTGGAGGACACGGTGGACTTGGTGCCCCAATATGACCTTCTATGCTCCGCCGCCGAAAGCAGATCTCTTCGGGAGATCAGTGATTCTGGTTTGTCACATGGAGTGGCTTGGATGGCCTTGAGGGTGAGTTTCCTTTCGCTACTTTCTTTATTTTGTGCCATTTGCTTTCGGTGATTCTTCCTTCTTTCCTCCTTAGACTTACATGATGGAGATCAAAAATGCTCATCGGGTTGAGACGCGGCCGATGTCTTCCTGGAAATAGCCAAAAAGTATCGCCGGTATCGCAATAGCTGCCGTGAGATACACGCAGCTTAGGGTGGGCAATAATACTCGGTCCCTCAAGGAGGAGTTGGAGATGAAGGACGAGGATCTGGTGCGGTCTATTTGCAGATGTAGCGAGCTCGAGGGGCTGCTTAGGCCAAAGACGAGGAGCTCGAGGTGGGCAAAGGGGTTACGGCGGAATGCGAGGATCTTCAAGCGAAGGTGTTATCCTTGAGAGTCGAGCTTGAGCAGAATGCCACTAGAGTTGCCAATCTAAGTGCAGAGTGGACGGAGAAGGTGGCTGAGCTAGAAAGGAAGGTGGCCGAGTTGGAGAGGGCCGAGGGAGCCCGAGTGGCGGTTTTGGCGAGGACAGCGATGCTAGAAGACACTATCCGCGTCCTCTGGTCTGAGCGAGAAGCCGAGAGGGCGATGGCCACACTACGGAAGGCAAGGCTCGAGGAGCGGATTGGCGAGCTCGAGCGGGATGCCTCGAACCTGGGAGACCAAGTTGTGGTTCTCGAGGCTGAGAAGGCGCAGCTGTTCGCTCAGCCCCCCCCCCCGTNAACGATCTGCCTCTATGCAGTCCCCCGCCATTTT